AGCGCACGAGGAGTTGAAGAAGAGGTTGGGGCTCGTGCAGGAGCAACGGGCCACCATCGCGTCTTTCGAGTTTCACGCAGACGACGAGCGGGGCTACGAGGAGCGCGCGCCGGGGCCAGCTCTTCCGCCCCCGCTTCCTACCGCGGGGAATCTGGCTGCAGGTGCACGGCTTCAAGGAGTCTCCGATCTACCAGGAGGTCGCCGAGGTGCTGCTGCAGGGCGCCGAGGGCGCTGACGACGACAGCCAGGCCGAGGCGCGGGCGCGGAGCTTGCTGATGTTCAGGCCCAGCGAAAGGGAGCTTACGCGGCAGAGCTCGGGGGCGCACAAGGTGCGCCGCTCGGTGTTCACCCTGGCGCACGCGCCCTACCTGACCTCCACGCTGTCGCAGGGCCAGACGCTGCGCAAGGGCATCACCATCGACTGCGCGAGAGACAAGGACGCTGGCCGCACGGGCATGTCAGATGAGCAGTGGTGGCTGCACCTCTACGTCATGTTCCCCCGCGCCACGTCCATGCGGAACATGCTGATCCTGCGGCCGCCGCCGCGGGAGTTCCTGGAGCGAAGGCAGCCGGCGCCCTTGCGGAAGGCGCTGCTGGAGTTCGACAAGAGAGCGGTTTTGTCCAGGGCGGAGGCGGAGCAGCTCGCGGCAAAGCTGGGCTTCGCGCCGCCTCCCGCCTGAGCGTGGCTGCGCCCCGCTCGAAGCCCGCGGGGCTGTCCCAACGGTTTGGTCTTGCGCGCCAGCGGCCCGCGGGGTTGCCCCAGCGGCTGCGCGACGCGGCCATCAGAGAACGCGCCAGTGCTGGCCGAGGCGGCGACGGCGACGAGGAACATCGACTTGCTTGCCCCGACCAGAGGGAGAGGGAGAGGGAGGTGCACGCAGAGAAGCGGCAGGAGGAAGATGAGGTGGGGGAGTGCACGGGGGGGGCGACGATCAGGAGGAGGTGGAGAAGGAGGAGGGGGAGGTAGAAGGAGGGGGAAGGGAGAAATATAATAAGGAGGGCAAGAGGGCAGAGGAGAGGGCGAGAGGAGGGTGTTTGCCACAGGAGGAAAGGGATAAGGAACCGCAGAACAGATTATCACGCGGGGTCCTTCCGTCGGAGCAATTGTTTGGCGCTCGCGCGAGGGCGCTGGCGAGGCCTGGCGCGCGCGGCGCCGACATTTCACCAGCTGGGCGGGTTTCCCTCGCACCCCTGTCTCCGCCCCCTTCTGTCCTTCGTCTCCCTCGTCGTTCGCCCCCCCCCCCCCCCCCTGCTCCACGCTCGCTCATCTCCCCCCTTCCTCCCGCAGTCATACCTGATCCCGCCGACGCGTTCCCAGTGTCCATGATCCTGCTTCCTCGTCTCTCCGCCCTCCAGTTCCTTCCTCACGGTTTTCGGATCTCTCCTCTGCTTCTCTCCTCCCTTCTTCTTCCCTTCTAGCTTAATCCTGTTCCCTCCTCCCCCTTCCTTTCTCTACCATCCTCCTGTCTCCCTGCCCCCACGTCTTGAAGCCGCCTCCATGGGCGCCTCTGCGCCATTGCAGGCCTTTGGTCAAGTTATCGCACGGCTCCATGGGGCGAGTCGAGTCGAGCCTGGCCCGTTGCCTTCGCTCCTCCTCTCAGGGGGGGCCTAGGGGCCTTGCTCGGCAGTCCGGAGGGCGAGAAGCCACCCTGGACGCTTTAAGGGTGGGGCGAGTTTCTACGCGGGTTTCAATTGGATCTCCGGGGGGGAGTCTATGGGAGGAGGATGATTTTAACAAACGAGTTGACGCATCCCGCGCTCTTGCAAACATCCCACCCACCCACCCGTAACTTGGCTTTCAAAATTCATTAGGTGGCGATTGCGATGCATGCTCGGCGTTGGCTGGTGCGTCTCTGCGGCCGCGCCAACCCAAACGCGCGCGCGCAGCGGCCGGCTGGTTTGGCGCGACCGACGCGGCCGCGGTGGCGCTGATCGTTGGGCGCATACCAGCGGGCACCTCATTGCGTGTTGACGACTTGGGTGGGCGCGGTATCATGGAAGCGTCAACAACGGTAGACGTTGCGGGCGAGTCTCCAACGACTTCGACGACCACGACAACGACGACGACGACAACACCGACGACGCCGACGCTGACGATGACGACAACGACGCCAACGACGACGCCGCCGCCGCCGACGACGACGACGCCGCCGACGACGACGACGACGGCGACGCCGACGACAAAGACGACGACGACGCCGACGCCGACGACGACGACAACGAAGACGACGACGACGTCGCCAACGAAAACGACGACGAGGGAGGAGGGAAGACGACGACGGCGACAACGACGACGGCGGCGACAACGACGAGGGAGGAGGGAGCACGGCGACGACGCGAACGACGAACAAGGACGAAGGATGACGCCGACGACGACAACGACGAGGGAGGGAAAGACGACGACGACGACAACGACGACGACGACGACGACGACGGCGACGAAATTGGAGGGGCGACGACGAGACGCCGACGACGCACGGTGACGGCGACGAGGGAGGATGAGGAAGGACGGCCACGGCGACAACGACGACAGAAACGACCACTACGCCAAAGAGGACGACGACGACGACGCAAGAGCGCGCGCGCATGCTTTTGTTGAAAACCCGCGTTGCTAAACCTTGTGTTTGTGTATGTTTCTTTGGGGCGCGCGATTTTGAAATCCGCTCGAAACCGATGGGTTTTGAAGGATTTCGGCATGCGCGCGCGACGACGCGCGCGCCTGCACTTCGTCCCGTTTTTTTGCAGAGGGTTCTCGCGACGGCACACGCGCAAGGGCGTTCGACAAATTTCAACATGCGCGCGCGCGAAGCCCGTGTGGTAGCACGTTGTGAAAATCTTGAACAACCGATTGTGTTTTTTTTTTTTTTCGATTTCGCAAGAGCTCGCGCGTAAGATTAGTTGGCAAATCAGCGTTGCGAAACCCTATGTGTTTGTTTGCTGTTCGGGGAAACTTGACTGGGAAATCGCTCCGGCACCGAAGGTTTTTCAAGAATTTCGGCATGCGCGCGCGACGGCCCGCGAGAGCGCACTCCGTCTCATTTGTTGCAGGGGATTCTTCAAAAGTGCTATGTTGGAGCAAACCATGTCCCCGCGTATCGTTTTTTTTGTTACACAAAGGGAACCTCAGGGGCAACTATCCCGGTTCCCCGGGGATGATATGTGTGAGACCTTATGTTTTTATATGTGTTTTGTGAAACCTTGTGTTTTTTTATATGTGTTTCGGGAACTCGATTACGCAATCCTTCAGACACCGAAGGTTATTGGAAGATTTCGGCATGCGCGCGCGACGACGCGCGCGCGTGCACTTCGTCCCGTTTTTTGGAAGGGGTGCGTGCAGAACTCTTATGCTAAAGCAAAACATGTCCCCGCGTATCGTTTTTTACTTGGGGACCTCCGGGGGGCCGATCCCGGTTCCCCGGGGTTGTTGTAAATTCATGCATAGGATGAACATGCGGTCATAATCCCATATGATTGAAATACCCGAACGGGGGACCGATAACGCCGGGGGGGTCGAGTCTATTCTCCTTGTAGAACGGAGAATTGACTACCTTGCACCGCGCTTGACCACCTCCACTGCTCGCGCAAACGCCCCACCCACCCACCCGCAACTTGGTTTGCTAAATCTCTCAAGACCGCGACGGCGGGCACCCAATGGCACTTGGCAGCGACAGCGACGCCGACGACGACAGCGACAACGACGACGACGACGACGCCGCCGACAACGACTACGACGACACCGACGACGTCTCCAACGACTTCGACGACGCCGACAACGACGACGACGACGACACCGACGACGACGACGACGCCGACGCCGACGACGACGACGATGACAACGAAGACGACGATGGCGACGCCGACGAGGACGACAACGACGACGCCGACGACGACGACGACGTCAACGACGCCCACGACGACGACGACGACGACGGCGGCGACGACGACGACGCCGACGTCGATGACGACGACGACGACGCCGACGCTGACGACGACGACGAAGACGACGACGAAGACGCCAACGAAGACGACGACGAGGGGGGAGGGATGACGACGACGGCGACAACGACGGCAACGACGACAACGACAAGGGAGGAGAGGGGACGGCGACGACGCGAACGACGAAGAAGGAGGAAGGACGGCGACGCCGACGACGACAACGACGAGGGACGAGGGAAGACGACGACGACGACGACGAGGGAGGATGAGGAAGGACGGCCACGGCGACAACGACGACAGAAACGACCACGACGCCGAAGAGGACGACGACGACGATCACGAGGAACGACAGAGGACGACGTAGGCGACGACGACGACGACGACGCGGGAGGAGGTAGGACGGCGACGACGACGACGACGACGACGCAAGAGCGTGCGCGCACGCTTTTGTTGAGAATCTGTGTTGCGAAACCTTGTGTTTTTGTATGTTTTTTGGACACGCGATGTTTTAATCCGTCCGAAACCGATGGGTTTTGAAGGATGTCGGCATACGCGCCCGACGACGCGCGCGCCTGTACTTCGTCCCGTTTTTTGCAGAGGGTTCACGCGACGGCACACGCGCAAGGGCGTTCGACTGATTTCGACATGCGCGCGTGCGAAGCTCGTTTGGTAGCATTTTGTGAAGTCCTTGAAAAACCGACTGTTTCCTTAAGATTTCGCAAGAGCTCGCGCGTAAGTTTTTTTAGCAAATCAGTTTTGTGAAACCTTGTGTTTTGCAGGCGTCAGTGAGCGTACGGCCCCTCCCGAGGCGCCCAGAGTGTAGGCCGGGGCCCGAATAGGCCCTGGCGCGAGCGGCGGGCCCGTGGAGGCCCTAGAGCTAGAATTGGGCCCGAAGGGGCCCCCTGTGCAAGGCCCGCGCAGGGCTGAGCTGAGAGGAGCGGGGCGTTCCCGCCGAAGCTCATGTGGCTCAAGAGAAAGCCATCGGGCGAGATCATCATCTCTGCATGGTGACAGGGTGTGAGGTTGCCTGAACCTACCCTTCAGGCTAGTGGCGCCAGCGCGCCATGGCGGCCGACGCTGGAGCAGCTGGGGTGCAGCTGCTGGATTCACGTGGAGTCGGCAAGGTGCCGGCGTTTTCGGGCAAGAGGGAGGACTTCGAGGATTGGATCTTCCCGTTCGAGTCCTACTGCGGTCTGCTGGGCTGGGCGGCAGGCCTGGACAGGTCGCGGGAGGCTGAGGGGCCGCTGACGGCGGATGACCTCGGCGAGCAAGGAGTGCAGGTCGGCAGGAGCTTGTACCACCTGCTGGCGAGCACCACGAAGGGCACGGCGCAGAGCATCGTCAAGCTCTGCCCACGAGGCGATGGCTTCGAGGCGATGCGGCGGCTGCACAAGGAGTACCGTCCGAGGCTGAACGAGGAGCACGGCCAGATGCTCCAGCAGATCTCAACGCCGCTGTGGTGGAAGGATCGCGAAGGCAAGGAGCGCTTCACGGAGGTGCTCATCGCCTGGGACGAGCTGATCTCGAGGTACGAGCGCGCGACTGGAGAGCAGGTCGCGCAAAACATGAAGACGAGCACGATCATGGGCCACGCGCCCGAGGAGGTGAAGATCATGCTACGCTCGGCGCAGCGCGAGGTGCGCAGCGACATCGCGCAGATGAGGAACTGCATCTTCGAGGCGGTGATCGGTCAGAGTGGGGTGGTCGCGAAGCCGCCGACAGCGAGCAAGGGGAGCAACGACATGGACGTCGACGCGATCTCCAAGGGCAAGGGCAAGGACGGCAAGGGCAGGTGCCAGATCTGCCACAAGCCGAGCCACACGGCCCGCGACTGCTACTGGCGCGACAAGGGCAAGCAGAAGGGCGACGGAAAAGGTCGAGGAGCAGGAGCGGGATCTAAGAGCGGAAAGGACGCCAAGGGCAAAGGCAAGGATGGCTACACGTTCACGGGCAAGTGCGACTATTGCCACAAGACAGGCCACAAGAAGGCGGACTGCAAGAAGCGGATCGCCGATGAAAAGGCCAAGGGAAATGCGGCTATCGAGCAGGAGGGCACGGACCCGAATACGGTGGCCAAGATAGTGTATGCGGAGTACGAGTGCGAGATCTGCGACGACGACCAGCTCTACTGCATGGCGATGAAGGCGGAGGATCCCGAGACGGAGTGCTGCGGCATGGAGGAGCTCGAGGAGACGACCTTCATCACGCTGGACACGGCGAGCGACTGCCACGTGGGGCCGACTTGCTTCGGAGAAGGCTGCAGGAGAGGCGAGGATCGCGGGCCGAGGCTGCTGGATGCGCAGCGGAAGGAGATCAAGATGGACTCCATTGCGACGGTGCCGATGGCGGTTGCCGACGACTGCGAGCAGCCGAGGCTGCTGAAGGCGGATTTCAGGTTGGGTGACACGGTATCGAAGCCGATCCTCTCGTTGCTGGAGGTGATGGACAAGGGTGCCGAGTTCTGGCTGAGCGCGAAGACGGGCATGTGCATGTACCCTGGCGGTGACCTCAGCCAGGGCATCCCGCTCGCCAGGAAGAACAACACGTTGGGCTTCAACGCATAGACCTTCAAGACAGCGACGGAGGCGAAGGAGTTTGCGGCCAGCGTGAACGCAAATGGGCAGCAGGAGGAGGCGATCGTGCCGACGCCTGGGGCTGCGGGCAGCGGAGCGGCGACAGCGGCGCCGGCTGCGCCTGCAGCTGCGGCAGCGGATCCAGCGCGAGATGGAGCAGCTGAGGGCGCAGGAGGAGAGCGACTGGCTCGACATCCTGTGCTACTACGCGAAGGGCAGGAGATCGTCCTGCACCCTTCGAGTCGCGTGGAGGACATGCGGGCGAGGCTCAAGGAGATGGGCCAACCTATCTACGGCAGGAAGGACGAGCTGTTGTCTAGGCTCGGCGACGCGGAGCGGAGGCTCACGGCACACCACATGAAGATGAAGGAGCTGGAGCGCAGGCACGAGGAGTCCGTTCAGGGAGGACCTTCGATAGCACCACGAGAAGTAGCAGGGCCAGCAGCGCCCACGGATGTAGAACGAGCAGCTCATGAACTGCTTCACCTCACGAGGGCGCCGTGGTGCGAAGCCTGCGTGCGAGGGAACGAGACGACCAAGCCGCACAAGACCCTCACATTTGACCAGAAGAACACGGGGAAGGCGCAGATCACCCTGGACTTCTGCTACCTGAAGACCAACGGGGACTGGACGGAGATCGGAGAGGTGGAGCCGCCAGCGGCGGACATCTTCGCGACGACGCTCGTGATGGCGGACAGGGACACGCTGATGTTCAACGCAGTCTCGATGCCCACCAAGGCGGTCACGGACTACGCAATAGCCAGCGCGAGCAGCTTCATCGAGGGCATGCATCTCACGACGGCGGACATCAAGACGGATGGCGAGCCCACGATCGTGAACTTGGTGGAGGAGGTGCGGAAGAAGCCGAACAAGAGCATCAAGCTGGAGGAGAAGCGTGGGAACCTGAAGGACAGCCAGAGCATGGGCGCGATCGAGGCTCCGATCAGATGGTTTCAGGCGAAGGTGAGGACGCACAAGTTCGACTTGGAGAAGCGCTACGGCATGAAGATCACAGCGGACGCACCGATTTGGTGCTGGCTTACGCGATACGTTAGTTGGGCTACCTCTACGTACAGACCACGAGCCGATGGGGGGACATCCCATCAGGCAGCCTACGGAGTGACATACAACGGAGAGATTCTCCTATTTGGCGAGACGGCTCTCTTCAAGACCCCGATCTCCCACGCGAGGCAGATCACGACCACGTCGCTGAAGCGCAAGGGCGAGTCTAGTTTCGTGAAGGGCATCTGGATCGGGAAGCACAAAGAGAGCGACGACCGCTTGTTCTTGACGCCAGCAGGCTGGCACCGCGCGAGAACCTGCAGGCGGCTGGAGCCAGCGCTGCGAGCAGACGACAAGCTGATGAAGGCAGTGAAGGCCCTACCCTGGGACGCTAGGAGTGCCAAGCCGTGCGAGCTACTGCCTAGGATGCAGAGGCCGATGCCCGCGATCCTTTTGACGGCGGCGGAGCAGAAGGCGAAGACCGAGGCGCAGGAGGCAGCACGGGAGGCGGCGCCACCCCAGGGGGCGCCCGAGCAGGGGGCGCGGCCAGCTGCAGCAGCGAGCGCGGAGCCACCGTTAGCACCTGCGGGACCTGGAGTTGGAGCGGCAGCGGCGGCAAGGCCAGATGAGAAGAGCACGACGGATGCGGACGTGCCGATGACGCCCCGAGGGCTGATCAGACCTGCCGACGCTGAGGACTTCGGCGCACCAGGCAAGCGCGCGAAGCACGTGAACGCGGTCTCGCTCGACGACCCTATCGACTACAGCATCCTGGACAGGATGGGCACAGACTGCTACGTGACGGTCAGCGGACTGGAGCCCGCGGTGGAGCTCAAAGGCAAGCGCGAAGCACTAGAGGTGCTGGCGCACTATGGCGTGCACAGGGACACCCCGAGGAGCGAGAGCGGCGAGTTCAAGAAGATCAGGGCGCGCTGGGAGCCGCAGATGCGAGGAGGTGTCTGCAAGTGGCGGTATGTGGCGCAGGAGTTCAAGTGGATGGAGCAGTGCGACGACGCGTTCGCGGCGAGCTCGTCAGCACAGACGAGCAGGCTGGTGGACTTCGTCAGCATCAAGGAGGAGAACCATGGGACCTTCATCGCAGACTGCGTGAAGGCGTACTACCAAGCGGACCAGACGGAGAAGGTTTGCGTGGAGCCACCTGCTGAGTATTTGGCGATCTTGGCGGAGATGGGCAAGCCGACCGACATTGTTTGGGCGCTGGACAAGATGCTACCTGGGCAGCGTGTGGCAGGCGCTGGCTGGGTAGACAAGGCGGCGAAGACTCTGAAAGGAGAGGGCTTCGACAGGAGCGAGTGTCAGCCGCAGTTCTACTACCGCAGGGAGAAGGAGATCCTGATCGAGGTGCGCATGGGCGACTTCCACGGAGAGGGTCCAACCGGCAACCTAGACGGGGTCATCAAACGGCTGCGGGAGGTGTTCGACTTGAAGGCGACGGACGTCATCAGGCAGGGGCGCTACTCGCACTTGAAGCGCGACAGGCTGAGGCTCATGAACGGCAGCATCATGCTGAGGCCGAACGTGAAGCACATCGACGACCTGATCTACGTGATGGGCATGGAGAAGGCCAAGCCAGCGACGGTGCCAAGCTTGACTGAGGAGGGCCCGACATGGAGCCCCGACTTGGACGAGATTGAGAGGGCGAAGTTTCGCACGGGAGTTGGGATCGCGCTCTACATCTCGCCCGACAGAGCGGACATCCAGCGGGACGTGCAGCTACTGACCAGGAACCTGAGTCAGCCGACGGAGTTTGACAGCAAGCGCTTGGTGAAGCTGGTGCGGTTTCTGAAGGGGACCAAGACGTGCGGAGTGCTCTTGGAGAAGCCAACTGGGAGCAAGCCTGGAGAGGTGAAGCTGCAGTTGTTCACGGACGCGGACTTTGCGACGTGCAAGGAGACGAGGCGCGCGATGACTTGTGGAATCACAAAGCTGGACGGGGTGCACTTCGCAGCGTTTGCGAGGAGGCAAGGAGTCCAGAGTACATCCTCAGGCGAGGCGGAGTTCTACGGCGCGACCTCGGTGGTGATGGATGGCAAGCTGGTGAAGAACATGCTGGAGTGGTTGGGCTACAAGGTGACCTGGGAGCTCGGGATCGACAGCAGCGCCGCGAAGGCGATGATCAATCGCGAGGGCGTCGGCAAGGTGAAGCACCCGGACGCGCGGGCGCTGTGGATCCAGCAGGGGCGGAAGGTGCACGGACTGATCATCAAGAAGGAGAGCAGAACCAAGAACGTGGCCGACCTGGGAACCAAAGCGCACACCACAGAGCGGTTCGAGTACTTGCGGGAGCTCGCTGGCATCATCGACTGCAGCGAGATGGAAAAGCACAAGGAACTGGAGGCATGCTCGGTGACAACGAGCTCCTGGGCTAAGCAGGGGCTGCTGGCGACGCTACTCGCGCAAGGAGTGACCGGTGGTGCGGCGGCCTCAAGCGAATGTGCAGTGCGAGAGCTCGACCAGCGCGCAGTTGCCCCCTGGGAGGCGACGAAGCGGCATGACTGGATCGATGACCATATGACGATGATCACCCTGAGCGTGCTGATGATGACCTTCGCGGCAGGTGCACTGCTTGGGTGCTGGAGCCGCGAGAAGTGGACGACGATGAGGAGCTCCATGAAGCCGAAGCTGGTCAAGCGTACGGATACCCCGATTCGGAGCAAGGAGCTGATCAACAAGGTAAGGCCTACGGACAAGCAGACGACAGCGGAGAAGGCGAGTCAATCGCCGTGCACATACAAGTGGAAGTACGCGACGCCGAGGTTCATGGTGCTGCCCGAGGCGAGCCACGGGTGAGAACGAGCTTGCGGCCTATGGCAAGGTGAACGAGGTGATGTGCCTCGACGAGGCGCCGTGGGGGCGTGCAGGCGTCAGTGAGCGCACGGCCCCTCCCGAGGCGTCCAGAGTGTACGCCAGGGCCCGAAGAGGCCCTGGCGCGAGCGGCGGGCCCGTGGAGGCCCTAGAGCTAGAATTGGGCCCGAAGAGGCCCCCTGTGCAAGGCCCGTGCAGGGCTGGACTGAGAGGAGCGGGGCGTTCCCGCCAAAGCTCATATGGCTCGAGAGAAAGCCATCGGGCGAGATCATCATCTCTGCATGTTGTTATATGTGTTTTGGGAACTCGATTACGCAATCCTTCCGACACCGAAGGTTATTGGAAGATTTCGGCATGCGCGCGCGGCGACGCGCGCGTGTGCACTTCGTTCCGTTTTTTGAAAGGGGTTTGTGCAAAACTCGTATGTTAACGCAAAACATGTCCCCGCGTATCGTTTTTTAAAAAGGGAACCTCCGGGGGACCGATCCGGGTTTCCCGGGGATGATGTAAATTCATATTTCGGATGGACATGTGGTCATAATCGTATATGATTTACATACCCGAAAGGGGGGCGGACAACGCCGGGGGGGGGTAGAGTCTATTTTTTTAGGAAAGGAGAATAGAGGAGGAACAGGAAGAGGAGGAGAAGGAGGAGGAGGAGCAGGAGGAGGAGAAGGCGGAAGAGGACAACGACGAGCACGAAGAACCAGGATAACGACGCGGATGTGCAAAAGTGGCAAATCGATGGTATGTAGGGCGCGCGGCACTTGTCGTTGGCACAGGGTCTCGGACCCACTGCTGGCGTGTCCATTTATGCTTGGTTCGTGCAGGTGTGCAATAGAGATCGAGAGAGAGAGAGAGAGAGAGAGAACAAGAAACCAGTAACTAAAGAGAGAGGGCGATATAACATAACAAGAAAAGAAGCGCTTGAACCGTAAGCTGCAAGCCCGATTCTTCATCACCGGCAAGCACTGGAAGGGATCAAAGGTTCTGCATAATAGGAGGGAAGGGAGAGGAAGGGGAGGAACGCGCGATAACGAAGAGAGGTGCGCCATGGTCGGGAGGAGAAGTGTCTCATCATTGCCGATGTAGACTGACGTTTCTTATGGCTCCGTCATTCTCTCCTCTGTCGCTCAGCCTGCCTAGTGCTATCGAAGGCAGCTCGATCTTATGATTACGTTGGCCGTGGCGACCGCGGCCAGGGCGGCAGCAGAAGCGGCTAGTACGATCTAAGCTCTCGCGCAATAGTCCATTGGAGCCAGTGGCGTTGGAACGCATAATGTGGGTTGTGGCCGTCTGGAATCTCTCCCCTCTGATTCGTTGCCTTTGGGATGTCGGCGAGGGGCGAACACCTAGCATGTTGTGTCCCTCCGCGTTTTGCGGAAGTACCTTCTCCCTAGTTGCCATCTGTTTATTCCGATTACCGATCAGGGCCAGCTAGAGAGCGCGCGTAGAGTCTCCGCCATCACTACGTTTGCCACGTGTTTCGCAATTTTTCGAGTACGATCTACGTACGAGTGTTGAATCATGTTGGTGGTCGGCGGAATGGGTTCATGGTTAAGTCCGATAACAAAGTATATGTATTTCGGAACTCAAAACAAAAAGGGTGGATCAAAACCCTCCCAGACGAGCCATTTTAAGCACCGTCTGCTCCTTATGCTCCTTCTGCTGCTACTCGCTCGCCTCGCCCTTGGCACCAGCAGTCTTGCCCAGCTCCACGTGTGTGAATTTCACCGGCGCTCCGCCTCCGGATTTGCCGGATGTGCCCTGGTCTTCGTGCCGAATTCGCTCTTGTGTTTCTTCCGCGAGTCGCGCCGCGTGCTCCGCGATGTTGTGGACATTCGTCCAGCCTGCTTCGCCTGGTCACCTTGGCGGTGTCCTAGTCTGCGCGGCGGCTGCATCAGCGCCGCTCGCCTCGCGGGCCTCCATGACCTCGGCTGCGCTATGCTTCGCCTCCTTCTGCACGCCCAGGGCGTCCAGTCGTTTGCCCAAGCAGTGCTCGACTGACGCCCACCGGCCGCACTCCTGCTCACCTCAGAGCCCGCTGCGAGAGGCAACATAAGCTGTCCCCTACCTGCTTCCCAAGAGCACGAGCTTGCCCGCGTATGCGAGCCTGGCGGCCCTGGGCCGTGTAGCTCCGCACACCCTGTGATTACGGGCGCGATGTGTCCCCAGTCTGGCCCCCACCTCGGCGGCGTGGGGGATCCCCAGCCGCGGTGTCTCAACGCCAGCTCGCGTGGAAGCGAGGCTCGCCCCACCAGAGCCCCCAGCCGTCCAGCTGTTTCTGGATGAGCCTGACCCGGGCCGCCTGACGCCAGGAGGCGCTCAGCAACGTGTGCCTTGGCAGCCGCTTCATTCCCGTGCAACAGTTTGGCAGCCACCAGCTCTGCTCCCGTTTGGCTTCCTGGGCTCTCGAGCGAGCGCGCTGCTCCCACCAGGCCGCTGCAAGCCTGCCGCTTGCGGGGCCCCTGTGGGAGCGCGGGCAGCACGGCAGGCCTGAGCCAAAATGGTGGATGGCGAGGGAGGGGGGAGGGGGAAGGATGAGGAGGAGGGGACGGGTTCGACAAGTGACCGACGAGGGCTGAGCGAACCTGCTGCGCACGAGCGTGCTTCCATCGAACAAGTGTGGGTCGATGCAGTGTCCATCCTGCCCCAGGTGCAGCTGACACGCAGGATGGAGCGCCTCGAGGTTCTCAAGGGCTCTGCCAGTGCGGGCGTGCCGTTCAGCGAGGCCCAGCGGTAAGAGCGCCTTCGCAACGAGCACTGGGGAGGGGGAGGACAAGGGCTCTGATATAAGTACGTATTTCTGACATAGTTTTGCAGTGGTGCCGGAGGAGATGCAAGGGCATGACAATGTTTGTACACACGCACACGCACACACTTCGCTCAGATATAGCCGCAAGCATACATTCGTAAGTTGGACCCGCGCAGCTGAGATGGAGCACTTGGTGGTGCGAGGCCAAACTTTCATGACACCCAAGTTTTGTTTCGCCAGTGGTGACGGTGGTGGTACGAGGCCAAACTCCCATCTGTTTTCGCCCATGGTGGCGTGTGTAGGAACGTGCTCCCATCTTTTCTCGCCCATGGTGGCGTTTGTAGGAACGTGCTGCACCCAGGGCAGCTTCGCGACAGTGGGGCCGAGCGCGAGAAGGGGGAATGCGAGTCGGAGAAGGACGAAGTTAGCCAGGCTGACCGAGTAAGCGGGCCCCACCCTCTACGACTTTCCCTCGCATACTATAAGGACAAAGCATGGCGCAATTGGATATTGGGACTGGCGCTGGTTCCCACCTAGCGAACGCCAGGCGCTCTCACGCGGTCCCAATTCCGACGTGTTGGCAAGAAGGCGCGCACGGGTCAGTGCACAGTCCAGAGGGGAATTCTGTGAAATTCTGTGTGCGGCGTTTTGGCGAGCGCACTATTCAGCCTTTTCGCGCGCGGTCACATGCTCGATGAGAGTGCCGAAGACAACGCATGCGCCGCGCCGAAGCCGCAGCGTCCAAGCGGGAACGCCTCTTTCACGCGAGATCCGCAGGAATCTTAGGCGAGGGCGACATGTCGCTCGCCTCCCGCGAGCGAAACATAGATGCGCCGCTTTCAAGCGGTAGCGCCACTTTCGGGCGATAGCTGAGCGGAGGTTGGACGAAAGCTACATTTCGCTCACTCTCGCGCGACCCCGTTGTTGACGAATGGGCGAGCCAAAACTACATCACGCTCAAGCGGGGGCGACACTTTCCGAATTGATACGCGTGTCTCTGAGGCAAGAGCGGCATTTCGTCTTTCACATGCAATGCGCACCGCATTCTTTCTTGTACTGTCGACGACAGAACGCTCATGTGGCTAATAATATTTATACTCCAGAAGCTAGTTCTAGTTGGGGGGCAGCAAGCGGAGACATCCTCACAATTCTGAAGTGGTCTAGCTCGTTTTGCTTGAGACATCCTCGTAGTTCTTGGTTCCGCACATTTCTGCGTTTCGGGGTGATTAGATCTGAAGTGGTGCGACCCCTATCGCTTGAGACATTCTCGCAGCTCTGGGCTCAGAGGTGCCGCGCGCGAGGTGGTCCTGCACGTTCCGTTTGAGACATCCTCCCAACTAAGGGCTCCGAGATGCCGCACGCCAGGTTGTCTGGCCTGTTTCTTGTGAGATATCTTCGCAAATCTGGATTTCGATATGCCGCACTCGAGGTGTTTTAACACGTTTGGCCTAAGACGTCCTCGCGATTCTGGGCTCCGACAGGCCAGGCGCGAGGCACGCTTCAAGTTTGGTTTTCGAGATGCCGCGCGCGAGGTGGTCCAGCCCGTTTCGCTTGTGACGGCCGCGCAATTCTGGGCTCCGTGGTTTGCTACACGCGAGGTGGTTTGGCCCGTTTGGCCTGAGACATTTTGACAGTTCTGGGCTCCGCACGAGAGGTTTCCCTGCTCGGGTCCAGCCCGTTTCGCCTGAGATCGCCTCGCAGTTCTGGGTTCCGAGATGCCGAGCGTGAGGTGATCCAGCCTGTTTCGCTTGAGACATCTTCGCAATTAATGGCTCAGATCTGCCGCACACGAGGTGGTCCGTGCGCTGTCTCGTGAGACATCCTCGCACCTCTTGGCCCGTGATGCCGCATGCAAGGTCATCTGGCCCGTTTCGACTGCGACTACCTTTCTATTCGGGACTCAGAGGTGCCGTTCGCAAGGTGGTCCGGCCCGTTTTGCGTGAGACATTCTCGCAATTCTGGGCTCAGGGATGGCATGCGCGAGGTGTTCCGGTTTGTTTCGTGTGAAACATCCTCGCAAGTCAGAGCTCTGATAGATGTTCGGCCCGTTTAGCATCAGACATCCTCACAATGCTGAGCTCCGAGAGCCCGCGCGCGAGGTGGTCTGGCCCTTTTCACGTGAGACGGTCTCGCAATTATTTAAACAGTTCTGGATTCGGAGGTGGGGCAGGGAGGGGGGAGGCGGGGTCAGGATGAAACGGTCCATCTGGTACCATGTTTTGTTATCGGA